TTTAATAGACATGTTTTTTAATGTGAGCTTTTCATTAGAATATAACTGCTGGAGATGATCTAAGAGAGGCTGAGTATTCCATGTATTCTTATACCGAGGAGCACTCGGTCTAATATTAGATAGTGCCTTGAGATACCCTTTTATTAGCGGGTGTGTCCCAATTCCATCAGCCAGGATAAGTGCCAAAGCAGATCGAAACGAGTTAAATGTGCCATATTTATAAGATTTAGATTGTAATTGGAGTTCTAGAAATTCAATTAGCTCTTTGACTCCGCTGTTGAACACTGAATAGCCTTTTTTACCACAAAATTCCCACCATAATTTTAATGTGCTATTATATTGCCTTTCTGTAGATACAGTAATCGATTTCATGGTCGTTTCAGTTGCACAGGAGGGTAAACCTTTCAATTCCAAAGCTTGCCGGACAACCTTGCTGTTACCAAGGTAAGGTCCTTGGCAAGGGGAGGAGTTTCGCTAAAAGGAGATGAAAGCAAGTTATGAGTGGGTTGAAATACTATCTCTGGTCCAATAATTAGTTTACGAAATATTTGGTACCATGGTTGACCTTGCCACCTAGGTACTACCAATATTCCTTCTGCTTTATATGATATAATTTGTTGAATAACTCTTAATACTAGAGAAAAAGGAGGAAATGCATAGAAATAAATATTGGTCCAGTTTATGGTAAATGCGTCGACTGCCCAGCTATGTGGGTCAGAAAACCAAGACACATATTTAGAACATTTATGGTTAATATTAGAAGCAAATAGGTCTAAATCTGGTGTTCCAAACCTATATAATATTTTTACGAAAGCGTATTTTACTAGAGACTACTCGGTTTCTGTAGATTTACAACGAGACTCTTTGTCTGCTCTCCAGTTGTCTTTTGAATTGATATATGATGCAAATATATAAATGTTTCGTTCTTCACACCATGACCAAATTGTTTTTGCTATAGAATGTAAGTGTGGGTATTGAACAACACCAATTCTATTTATGTAGGACATGGCCGTTGTGTTGTCAGTCCTAATTAGAATTTTACAGTCAGTAAAGTTGGAAACGAAACATTTTAGACCATAATAAATTGCTTTAAGTCCTAAAGCATTTATGTGCATTCTTTTATCTGTTTGATTCCACCAACCATGAGTGCTTTGTTTGTTGCAACATGCTCCCCACCCAGAAAGAGAAGCGTCAGTATAGATTTCTAGTTCAAACCTGTCATATTTTATTGTTTCTTGAGTTCTCATTATATTTAGTTTCCACCAAAGTAAATCAGGTTTTATTTTATTTGTTATGTTCATAATGGCGTCCTAGTTCATATTGTGTAATTATTGCGATGCTATAAATTTTTCTCTTTCGAGTAATTTAGTGTGCAACAAGCCATATTTTACCGCCGGGCATGATGATTCAAGGACACCAATGAACATAGCAAAGTCTCTTATTTTGCAAAACTTTTTGGAAAAATATTTGTTAACTAATGCTCTTATCTTGTCTCTTTTCCCCTGGGGTAATTCAATAGTCATATTTTTACTATTAAATATAAAACCCAAAAATTTTTTGTTTTGGGAAGGATCTACTGAGCTTTTTTCTTTATTTACTACAAAACCTTAAGATTCTAATAATTTTAATGTCAAAGATGTGTTATTTAGACACTCTGTATAAGAATTACCAAATATTAAAAAGTCATCCAAATAATTAACGCATATTACGTCCTGATTTCTAAGTTCCTGGACTATTGGTTTAGTAAGCTTTGTAAATGTGAATGAAGCGGTGGATAAACCAAATGGGAGGCACGTAAATTCGTATAATTGTCCGTCAAAAGCAAACCTTAGGTATTTCCTATCATCAATATTTACTGGTACTAAAAAATAAGCATCTTTTAGGTCTATAGTGGACATGAACATATCCTTGCGTATAAGTTTTATCACTGTTCTGTAGTCCTCCATTTTAAAATGCAGTTCTTTAACAAAATTGTTGAATACTTTTAGATTTAATATAAAGCGTTTTTCCCCATTTGGTTTATCAGCTAAGAATGGTTTAGAAACAAATTGTCCTGGGTGGGGGTTGCATTTTTCAATTGCTCCCTTATTTAATAACTTTTTCACCTCATTGGACATAAGGTAATATTCCTCTTGGGAATATTGTAATTCTTTAGGTGGCTGATTTTGAGTTGGTATTCTTAATAATGGAATGCTATAACCTTTTACCCAGGAAAGTAAGAGTGGATTTGAGGTTATGTCTGACCATTTTTGTGTAAAAAATTGCAATCGCCCAGATAATTTGTGTGAGCTTACCTTTACTAGTGTTTTTCCTGTTGGGGTAATCATATGTCTCTCGTGAGGGCCGCCCTTTGAATGGCTTCGACTCCCTCCTGAATCGAGTCGGGCGATACCGGTTTCCCGAATAGTTACTTATTCGTTTGGCCCCCTCTCGTTCTCTTGGACCTGCAGATCTTGGAGTTTTGGGTATAGGATTTTGTTCTAATAATTCTTTCCCAGTTTTCTCCAGTATTTTTGCGCATTTTATTTTTTCTCAGAGACCCTCACCAAACAAGAGGTTGGTACTATTAGTTTTTTCGGCAATTTCTTTTACAGATTTATTTAAAAGCGGTATTAACAAGTTTATTCTGGTTTGAGTAACCTCATAATTTACATTTGTAAATATCCGCCCTGCATTCCACAAAGGTGTGAGAATTTTATCTCTAATATCTTTGGGTATATTTTCGTTATGCTCCAATATAACGTTAAGGCCTGTGCTTAGGGCAGTTATCCCATACCCAATTTCATTTTGAAATTCTAAATAACATTGATCTCTTTTTTTATGGATCGGTGTGAGGATTGGTACTAACTCTTGGTTAACCTCAGGAGGGGTTAATTCAAGGTTAGACGGAAATTTATATTGATTTCTAAGTTTTGTTTTGCCGTCCAGAGTAATGCCATTTTTTAACATATAGTTCTATCTAGTAACTATTGCTTCATTTACTTCTGGAATTTTAGTAGGAATTTGCTCTGGATCATCGCCTAAAATTTGCATTATATCATCATCTAAAATAATGTCGTTTTCCAGTTGTAAAACTGCTTCGTCGCACTCAATATTTTGTGGAGAAGCCATTCCTCACAGTGAATGGTCTTCTGTAAAACCTTGCGACGTAGATCTGGGACTCCCTCGTCCAAATGCCGTTTCTCTATGTAAACGGTCATCAGGTGAGCCTCTGCTGCGATGACTCGTAGAAGACCTGTCTTTTGGTCGATAACAATGACGTCTACGTTCATCGTCAGAGCGATAACGATCAAGTGAGGCCGGTGAAGCGGTATGTGAATGTCGCTTGTAATGGTGACGTTTCTTTTTTATTTTCCGTTCTAAACGGGATAAACGTTTAAGCAATTCTTTTTGAGAAATACTCGAATGATCACTGTCCTTACTATTTGATGATTTGTCTCTACTCCTTTTACCCATCCTAAAAATACCTGCAAATATTATATTAGTTTATACTTACATATAAATTTGAAACGGTGATTGTCACTTACGTCCGTATCGATGCAGCACAAAAGCAATAATGAATCTGTAACCGACGACGCACGGCAAGGTGAAGGACGGGGGAACGTGTTCTGTGATAAATATTGTGGTCTGTGAGCAGCGCAGAGGCGTACTACCTAGTTTTCAAATAAGTGATATCTGAAGGACTGGAGGGAAATAAAATTGCAATGTATTTTTATATACTTTTTTCATCAATTCACGGACAACTAACCCGTGAATCTCTTGTACTTTCATTAAAAATTTTCTATATAATATTTTAGTCTATAATATATTATTCTTGTATTATATTGGGTTCTCCCGTTGATAAATATATAAATAAATAAAAATATATTTTTCTATATTAAATGAAACATGAAGAACATTTATAACTCTTTATTCCAAAAACTTCAATCAGTCTGCAAGAAATTGTTGCTGAGTCATGGGTAAATATTCTTCACTCTTGAGGCATTTCCAGTTTTCCTTACCAAAAACCTAATGAACTTCAGTATTTTGCCACATGTGCAAAGCTGATTGTTGCTAGTTTCAGGCCAATTGGTGGGGTCCATCCTGCTGTAATTAATCTTATAGCCTGTTTTCCTAAAAAGTATATCTTGAGGCCTCATCTGCGAGGAAAACAAGACCCTCGGAAACATAAATATCCTTCAAAAGTGTCTGGTTACAGGGTTTCTCACTTATGGCACCGAGGATTTTTCCAATCTATAAAATGTGGTGGCGCCATCTACAATTGGTTTCCACAATCCAAAACATTGAAAATAATGGATTTTCAACTCCCCCCAGCTCAAATTTTGTACAAAACTTGCATATTTCACGAGTCTCAAAATTTCCGGTTTTTCAACCCGATTTTTTTGCAGAAAATATTAATGTTGCGAAAAAAATCATAAGGACCATTTTTGTAGAAAATTAACTGAACTTCAATTTTTATCTGAACCGAAAATCTCTAAATGCCATATTTTAGGAGATATTGGCTGAAAACCTATTTTTCTGGTCTTTTGGGGCCATTTTCTCCGCCATCGCACGCGTTTTCCACGCAAACATTATCTCATGTTTAATGAGGTACCAAAAGCTACTTGAAACCGGAAGATGAAAATAGGGCGTAATTAAGTCCAACTTTGCGTTTTTTTCCTCCTTCATTTACTGGACTATTAGCTATTTAAATATTTTAATATTTTTCCTCAAAATGTATTTACATGGACAGATTTTAAAAATTTTTATTTGGAACATGTATACAATAATTGTTCATACGGGCCGGTATTAATATTTAATATTTTCAAAAATATCCTTTATTATTTACTTGCAATGTTTACCCCATTTCATTCTAAAATTAAACACTAGAGAGGGCTAACTTCGGCAGTAGTGCTGTCTCTATATTTCACGCACGGTCCCTATATGATTGAATATAAGACTGATCATTATAAATTAATTTATGGTATATTTTAAGTTAGTAGAGTACATTTTATACAAACCTATACACATTCTCGGACCTTCACCGAATGGTATATATGCATAAGGCTTTAGCTTCTGTTTATTTTCATCTGTGAACCTGTCAGGATCAAATACTTCTGGGTTTTTATAATACTCCTCATCGTAATGAATTCCCTTAATTGGAATGTATACTCGTACGCCCTTGTCGATTTTAATATCTGTACCTGGAACCACATAATCCTCAACACACTGCCTTGTAATAAATGGTGCTGCTGGGTATTTTCTGAGAGTCTCTAAAAAATTATATTATTTTATAGCATAAAAAATTACTTTAACGCCTTGTAAATTTTTAACTAGCATCGAAATCTTAATGTATCACATGATTGGTACATTAAGAGAGAGTAGGTAGCTAGAAATATTTTACGATAACTAATATCAGAATAGAGGGAAATTAAAAAATACGGCAACTGAAGACCTTAACTTCAAAACGGTCCAAGTGCCAAAAACATGATAAAAATGTAAGTGTAAAATAACATTTTTAGATACATACACGATTTTTACCCAGATCTTGGAAAGTTTATAGATTTGGCAACGTAGTAATACATGGTGTATTTTCACATTTTCTCAGACATCGTGCGATTGTCTCATTTTGGTGTGACAGGTGGTGCATTCGGCTAAGGCAGGACTCAGACAGCTCGTTCACGTCGACCGTCCGCGATCGTCCAAAATTTCAAACATGCGTAAGCTTATGGCAAACCTCACACTAAGCCGATCGAGCATCACCGTCCTCGACCAAGCCATTTCACTTTTCGAGTTTGTTTGAAATTTGGTTGATCGCTCGATGGTGGACGATCAAAAGTTAGGTTATAAAGAATTTAAATACGTTATAAAATAGATATATGTTAAAAAATGGCCGAAGGTTAATATTTATATTATTATTATGATCTATTTTGAATAACTGTATATAAATATATATCAGAAAACTCATATTTTTTTTTAATATAAATGTCTATTGATTTAATATTAATTAACAAATATTTAATTGAAGCATCAACTGTTAATTTCCATTACAAGCAATAATTAAAATTTTAAAATAGAGAACCATTTTTGTTTTGGTCGGATCAAATCGATCGACGCTGTGTGAATTCACTCTTTTAAAACGGTCGAGGAGTCATGTGATTGTCCTTGGTTGACCGTGCTTGATCGTGGACGACCTATTCTGTCTGAGTTCTGCCTAAAGTTTTTATGCTCTCTTCCGTCCCCCTTCCCGCCTATTGACATATGTCCAGCTGCCATCTTGATGTTGCTCTTATATTCCTAAGGGATCTCTCGATCAAAGCGTCGTACCAAAATGCGACGTTGCCTTTTTCTGTGGCTTTTCTGGCTACAAAATTGCTCGATGTCTGGACAAATGTAAAAATGATTACCATCTACACCATTTATTGCGATGTTGCCCCATATCTGGGGAAAAATCGAAAATTTGTGCTCGAGTGTCTCCTCTTCTACTTACACGCACATACAATTCACCATGTTTATCCCAGTCCAAAAAATTAATTGTTTTGTGATGGCACTTATAACCATTTGGATATCGCTAGGGTTGGTATATGTAACCCTTTTATTCAAAAATATATTTTTTTTTTAAATTTTGGCACTTTGATGTTAAGGTCTTCAATTAGCCAAATCAATGAAGAGTATTTGCGAAAAATTAGAATAAAGCTACGAATTATGTTAATTCAATGATCATATTTCAATTACTGGCTTATATTTTGTGAACGCTACGCAAACGAATAGTCAGAAATAAAAAAATAATAAACCACTCTTCATCTAAAAGATATTTGTAACAAAAACTCCGGGTGAGTACTACGTTAGTATTTACAGTTTACCCTCTAAAGCAGGGATTTCGAAAGTGGTTGAAATCGGTTTCCCAGGGGTTTAAAAAATAAAATAAACATAAAAAAAATTATAGTTTTGTCCCGAGTCCAGATTTAAACCCGGAGTATTCAGGTGGAAGGCAGATGCTCTGTCCACAGCTCCACGGCTACTTTTAGTTCTTTTACTGAAATTGATTTTTTTTAAATGTGGACCAAATAAAAATTAAAATGCTATTATTTACCAATTCTACATAAATATACAGATCCATCCACGATACTACGAACTCGGTCAAACTGATGACCAATTTACTCATGTCCGCTACTGTCATTCCAAAGCTTTCGCATGTGACATATTTGGAATAACTTTATACATTTCACGACAGAGTTGAGTATTAATGAATATTTTATAAATAAATGAAGATAAAGAACAAACATAATATATTCAGACATGAAAATAGCGAAATTTAATAATGCAACCATCAACCAGAATTTGTAATAATAGACAAAATTTTGAACAACTTTAATAGTTGTTGACGTAGCGCAGTGGGTAAGGTGTTGTACTTACAGTCTACCTACGCGGATAGAGGTAGGATCGAATCTCGGCGCCGACGTTTTTTATTCTTTTTTTTTTATTAATTTTCATTTTCTTTTTCATTTATTTTTTCTCTTTTTTTGAGACCCTCCACAATAGTAAGAACAGCAACAGTTTAAAATTTATAAAAAACAACTTTGATTTTGTTTTCAAATGGAAAAAAATTCAATACAAACATTAAAAAATAGAGAACAAACATTGAACATTAAAAAAAAAATAAAACTAACTTTAAAAAATTACATAACTAAGATTAAAAAAAAAATACAAAATTAAGATTAAAAAATTACAAAAAAATAAAAATTATAAAATGGAATCCAATAGACAATAATAAATTACAATCAATAATAAAAGAACACGAATTTATTTTTAATGTAATAGGTGCTCAAATAAACCTCCTTCTTGGGCAAGACAGTACCCCAAGCGATCGTAAAATGATCGCCTTACTTCAGCCAACATATTGGGACTAATAAGTTTAACGGCTTCTGAAATTTTCACTTTCAGCTCATCTAAGTCGTTAGCTCTTTCTTCCCTGAATTTGTATATCTAAGACTTTAAATAACCCAAAAAAAAATCACAAGGTGCGAGATCTGGCGATCTAGCTGGCCACAGAATTGTACCTTTTTCTGATAATAATCTGTTGGGAAATGTTTCATTTAAAAAGTGCTGCACCGTCACACGATTATGCACAGATTATGCATACCAGCCAGGAAAGTCAACTGACCTAGCGCTGGACGATCTAAACAAGCTGCTTTCAAAGTCAATAGATGACAAAGAAATCGCAATAGCCACTTTCTTAGATATTGAAGGAGCTTTCAACAATGCCTCAACCAGGTCAATAACCAAGACTCTAGAAGGGAGAAACGTCCCAGTAACAATATGCCAGTGGATCACTGCCTGTCTAGAGAACAGGATTATTTTATCCACTCTAGGAAAGGCAACCATACAGGCAAAAGTTACACGGGGCTGCCCACAAGGAGGAATACTATCTCCAATGCTGTGGTCAGTTCTCGTGGACGACTTACTCAAAATATTGTCCAAAGAAGGCTACCAGTGCCTAGGATACGCAGACGACCTAGCAATCATCGTCAGGGGGCGATTTGCAGGTACAGTTTCGAAGCGATCTCAAACAGCTCTAAACATAGTGAACAACTGGTGCAAAAAGGAACAATTGTCCATCAACGCACAAAAAACAACAGTTGTACCATTCACAAAAAAACGGGTACTCACAGGTCTAAGACCACTAGTACTAAACAGCACAGTTATCCCATTCGTCACAGAAGCCAAATACCTCGGAGTCATATTTGACCAAAGGCTGACATGGAATCAACATCTCAAAAAACTCACACATAAAGCTACAATAGCTCTCGTAAGCTGTAGAAGAATATGTGGGAAAAACTGGGGTCTAAACCCCAAAATGACCATATGGTTATACACAAGGGTAATAAGACCCATGATAACCTATGGCGCAGTGGCGTGGGTAACCAAAACTGTGCAGGCAAGTGCAATAGGCCAACTCACTAGCATTCAGCGGCTTGCCTGTCTAAGTGCTACTGGGGCCATGCGCACTACGCCGACCGCAGCAATGGAGGTATTACTAAATCTCACGCCATTGCACATCTTCATACAAGGAGAAACCAGGTCAGCTATTCACAGGCTAATGCAGGGACAAAACCCAATAAGCCAACTACATAGCGCCGACCACACAAGGCTATATCAGCAAGTACAAAGGGATAATATTCTAGCTATGCCTACTGATAGAGCCATAACCACATACAAATTTGAAAGAAATTTTCAAATTCAAATACCAGCCCGAGAATCCTGGAAACAGGGACCTCCCGTACAGGCTGAACTCGTCTGGTACACAGACGGTTCAAAAACCAAGGAAGGAGCCGGTGCTGGAATCTATGGACCTAAGTCGAAATCAACGATTTCACTAAGCTTAGGAAAATATGCAACAGTGTTCCAGGCTGAGCTAATAGCCATACAACACTGTGCAAGAGAAATATTAAATCAGCAAGTATCAGGCAAAACTATTGCCATATACTCTGATAGCCAAGCAGCTCTAAAGGCAATTCTCTCACCAGAAATCAAATCACGACTGGTGAAAGACTGTCTAGAAGACCTGACAGAGCTAAGTAGTCAAAATAAGGTGACCTTAGCCTGGGTTCCAGGCCATGAGGGATATCACGGCAACGAAAAGGCCGACGAATTAGCCCGAGAAGGCTCAGATAAGGCCATGACAGGCCCTGAACCCTTTTGTGGAGTCGCTAAGGCACTGTGCAAGGCATCCATTAAACAATGGATGCAAAAAGAGTCTCAGGAATGGTGGAACAACTATCCAAGACTGAGACAGGCCAAACAGTTCATCAAGGAACCATCGGCCAAGTTTACGAAAGACCTACTGGATCAAAAACGTCAAATCGTTAGGATAACAGTAGGCCTTCTTACTGGACACTGTCGCCTCAAAAGGCACATGAGTGTCATAAATCCAGCAGAAGAAGCAACTTTGTGCAGGTTCTGTGAAGAAGAAGAGGAAACATCATTCCACGTCCTGTGCCAATGTGAAGGCTTGGCTGGAATGAGGTTTCTAACATTGGGCGAAGAAAAGCCAATTGCATGCAACTACATGCGGGAGCCACTGTCAAAGCTACTAAGTCTAATAAAAAAGACCAGGCTAGACGACATACTCTAAAACAAACGGAGTCCCACAATAGATCTGAAAAGGTCGCGGTGGACAAGGACAAATAACGTCCAACTCCTAATCTAATCTAATCTAATCTAATCTAGCTCTTTCTTCCCTGAATTTGTATATCTAAGACTTTAAATAACCCCAAAAAAAATCACAAGGTGCGAGATCTGGCGATCTAGCTGGCCACAGAATTGTACCTTTTTCTGATAATAATTTGTTGGGAAATGTTTCATTTAAAAAGTGCTGCACCGTCACACGATTATGCACAGAACATCCGCCTTGTTGAAACCAAATTTTGTTAAATCGAGCTCCTGCCAATCGCCGTATCTCAGGGACAATATGGTGTCTGAGTAAATCCAAATATTTAACACTATTTAAATTACCCTCAATATAAAAAGGACCGATTACATTTTCCCATCCAAACATTTAACTTTTGCGGGAACTGCGTGCGAACTGTTACAAATTTATGTAAATTTTCTCGAGACCAATATCGAACTTGGGATGGATTATGCCTGGCAAGTAATGGAAAAGTCGACTCATCGGTGAACACAACATTGTAAAGAAAATTGTTGTCATTGTTAACTTTATCCATTACTGCCTCGCTAAATTCCATTCGTCTGATATTGTCAGTTTCATAAATTTCTTGGCATTTTCTTACTTTATAAGATCGATATCCATGTTTTTTTTAAAATTCTATTTACTGTGGTTTCACTGGAACCTACAACTTCCGCAACCTCTCTCTGAGATATCATCCGATTTTCTTCCACAGTTACACAAATCATAATATCCCTATCTTCTTGTTCATTCTGATTATTATTAACTCGAGCCTTTTTATGTTCATTGGGAGAAACGCAGCCATGAATTTCATAATTTTGAATACAGGAGTGCGTTTAGATTCCTCGCACGGCGCGTCTGACCACATACATTAGAATAGGGCCCAGACGCGCCGTGCGTGGTTTCTAAACGGACACCTGTTGAGAGTGATGGCATGGGCCTATTTTGAAATGTCGCCTCAAACAAACCGCTTATTTGTTGAATTGTGTTGCCTTGAAAATGCCATTTCACAATTTGTACTTTCTCAGCAATTTCGTAAACATTCATTTTAAATCTAAAGAAATACTTTTCGCCCGCGATAAAAGTACAAAATTTGAATGTGACAGTTGCGGACAAGCGTCAATTGGTCATCATGTTTACCATGTTCCTAGTACGATGGATGAATCTGTATATATTTTAGTGTATCTCAATAACTAAAAAATATATTGACAATTAATTTGACAGAATTCTCACTGGTGTATTTCATTTTTATGTAGTGTTCTCACTACCTAAAATGGATATGAAATATATTCGTTCAGTTGAACACTATAGCATACTTTTTCGTTTTGTAATATGTGCTTAGATAAGCCAATATCCATGTGAGTGTAGAAAAATTATATATACCATCCCCATAATGCTATTTCTATAATTTTGACATACTCATGATGAATTCATTTTTCCTACAGAAATTTTGATATGCATACTATAGTATATTATTAAACGAGCAATTTATGGTAGCCATTATTCACGCAGGGTGACGTTTGCGTCTCGAGCCGTAGGCGAGGGGCGCAAGTCACCCGAGTGAATAGTGGCCATAAATTGCGAGTCTAATACACTTTGTCCACGACCATTATGGTTTCTTTATTAAATAAAAGTTAAGTGTGATTGGAAAGTTTTTATTAAACATAGGTAACTAACTGTTGTTTTTTCGATTTTTCGTTTTTATCGATTTTTCGATTTTTTTCTATTTTTCGATTTTTGTTTCGATTTTTTCGATTTTTTTCGATTTTTCAATTTTTTTTTCGATTTTTTTTTCGATTTTTTTCGATTTTTTCGGTTTTTTCGTTTTTTTTTTCGATTTTTCGATTTTTTTTTTGATTTTTCGATTTTTTTTCGATTTTTCGGTTTTTTTTTTTATTTTTCGGTTTTTCGATTTTTTTTTTGATTTTTCGATTTTTTTTCGATTTTTCGGTTTTTTTTTTATTTTTCGATTTTTTTTTTTTCGATTTTTCGATTTTTCGATTTTTGTTTCGATTTTTTCGATTTTTTTCGATTTTTCAATTTTTTTTCGATTTTTTTTTCGATTTTTTTTCGATTTTTTTCGATTTTTTCGGTTTTTCGATTTTTTTTCGATTTTTCGATTTTTTTTTCGATTTTTCGATTTTTTTTTTATTTTTCGATTTTTTTTCGATTTTTCGGTTTTTTTTTTATTTTTCGTTTTTTTTTTTATTTTTCGATTTTTTCCGAGTTTTTCGATTTTTCGATTTTTCGATTTTTTTTTTTTCGATTTTTTGATTTTTTTTTCGATTTTTTTTCGATTTTTCAAATTTTTTTCGATTTTTCGATTTTTTGATTTTTCGATTTTTCGATTTTTCGATTTTTCGATTTTTCGATTTTTCGATTTTTCGATTTTTCGATTTTTCGATTTTTCGATTTTTCGATTTTTCGATTTTTCGATTTTTCGATTTTTCGATTTTTCGATTTTTCGATTTTTCGATTTTTCGATTTTTCGATTTTTCGATTTTTCGATTTTTCGATCTAGAAAATATCGTTATGAAAAGTATCGCCTATCTTTAGTTATCTATCGGAATGTGCCAGAATTAAAAGAATTACATAGGTAACTAACTGTTGTTTTTTCGATTTTTCGATTTTTCGTTTTTATCGATTTTTCGATTTTTTTTTTTCGATTTTTTGATTTTTGTTTCGATTTTTTCCATTTTTTCGATTTTTTTTCGATTTTTCAATTTTTTTTCGATTTTTTTTCGATTTTTTTCGATTTTTTCGGTTTTTCGATTTTTCGATTTTTTTTTTATTTTTCGATTTTTTTTCGATTTTTTGGTTTTTTTTTTATTTTTCGATTTTTTTCCGATTTTTTCGATTTTTCGATTTTTTTTTTCGATTTTTTGATTTTTTTTTTTTCGATTTTTCGATTTTTTTTTATTTTTTCGATTTTTTTTTTATTTTTCGATTTTTTCCGATTTTTTCGATTTTTCGATTTTTCGATTTTTTTTTGGATTTTTTTTCGATTTTTCAAATTTTTTTCGATTTTTTTTCGTGTTTTTGATTTTTTGATTTTTCGATTTTTCGATTTTTTGATTTTTCGATTTTTCGATTTTTCGATCTAGAAAATATCGTTATGAAAAGTATCGCCTATCTTTAGTTATCTATCGGAATGTGCCAGAATTACAAAAGCGTGAATTATCATAATTCACTCCGTGATATATGGGTACTAACTATATGCTCTTCGTTAGGAGGTAGAATATTGATTTATTATTAAGTGGTCGTGGACAAACATATAAATATATTAAATAGTATGGGTCTAAGTACTGTTCCTTAAGGCAAGCCATACTCAACCACTTCTGTATTACTGGTTAAACCATCCACCTTTATGGTTTGCATCTGATTTATGTTGGTCTGATATCGGTCACTAATGAAAGAATATTAGGTGAATTAGCAGTATCTGGATCAACTTTGGGAACTTATAAAAGCAGCCCTCTATTGGCTAAAGCAAGTTTAATTTCTCTGACTTTGGCCTAATTTTCCCTCTTGTACAGTTTCGTCATTATACATGTACGTAAAAATATTCACCTACCATCAATAACCTGTCGAAGATATTTCATTTCACTTATTGAATCGTAAGTGACGGCATCATTATGTTTTCTCAAAACACGGTCAATTTCTTCTCTAACCTTTTTTTGGATATTTAGATGTTTACTGAGTTCATATAAGGCAAAAGCCATTGTAGTGGCACTGGTTTCAAATCCAGCTATGAAAAATACAAAACATTGGGCGACCATTTCGTTTATGGTCAAACATTTTCCATCGCCTAAAAGAAAAACGTAATGCATAACTTTATCTCACAATGTAATAATATGTTATTCACAAAATTATTTTGCTCAGTTGGCAATGAAATAAATGAGCAACTTTAAAACTTAATCCGATTGTAGTCGTTTGACAATATTTTGTCTAGTTATTTCCAACTTTTTTCGTCTGCGTGTTATTATAAGATCAAACAATCTTATAGTAAAAGTGAAATTCGTTCTTGATTATACACTACTCTGCCTTCGAAGATGATTGGTAAACATAGTACTGATTTATCAGCTAGTTGTGCACCATGTTACGTGAAATTAATTTTAAATTACTTTCAAATTTATTTTTAACAACAACTTCTCCATAACCCCTCGTAACACAACATCGGTCGTATCATTGTTACCATTATCGATTTTTACCATGCATCGTCTACGCATGATCTGCTAATATCGGCGCATAGACCGTAGCGATTCTTTCAGTCAGGAGTTCATATAAAACCTAAAAGGTGAATTGGTTTTTCCTTTTCTGGTGTTTAAAGTCAAACAGTGCTAGCGTGCCGATAAATTTAGTAAAATGAATTGCTAGTAATTATCTTTCTCTAATTTGTGTTTATTAAGTGTGATCGTTGGGATAATTGTCAGGTAAATGTTTTTCTTTTATTCCCATTTTGCTGGATTTCGTTGCAAAACCGAAGGTCCGCCATATGCTTTTTTTTTATTACTACCATGCTGGAAAAAGCCGGTTACTATATTTTATTTCATTTTATATAGTTTATAGCTACCCTAACTAATAATATTTTTTAAGCTTTCTTATATATATATTAATATAAATGTGTTATCATTTAATTACTTTGATATATACGCGGGGAGGCAACTAAATAAATGAATTACAAGTCATTTTGGAAATACAGTTTAAACGGAAATTTATGGCTCCTAACTTATTTTTGGCTTATAAATATTTTATATTCTGTTCAGATAATGTAACTTTAATATTTGTCGTGATATTTTATATTTTGTTCAGATGACGTAACTTTAATATTTGTCGTGATATTTTATATTCATTCCGTTTATGCATAAATCCGTTAGATTTCCAAACTGGCATGTATATGTACTTTTACACACGGTACTCAGGTTCTTTTATTTCTTAACCTGTAGTGGCTCCTCTCAGTATTAAGAAGAAGTACTCCTCTCAGTATCAAGAAGAAGTACTCCTCTCAGTATCCAGAAGTACTCCTCTCAGTATCAAGAAGAAGTACTCCTCCCAGTATTTAAGAAGAAGTACTCCTTTCAGTATCCAGAAGTACTCCTCCCAGTATTTAAGAAGAAGTACTTCTCCCAGTATCCCAGTATTTAAGAAGAAGTACTCCTCTTAGTATCCAAGAAGTACTCCTCCCAGTATTTAAGAAGAAGTACTCCTCCCAGTATCCAAGAAGCTTACAACTACTCTACTCTACCTCAAGTACTATCTTTAAGAAGAAGCTACAAGCTCCTCCAGGAAGCTCCTAGTTGCCGCTAGCTATGATAAAAGGGAAGTACCGTATCTACGTACAAAAATACCACCATCATTGAGTAAATTCAGTCAAATTAAACAATCATTAACGCATTTAACTATTTAACTATTTGACTATCTAACTATTTGTCTATTTAACTTATGTAAGATTAATCTCATTTTTTTTATTAAATGTATTAAATGTTCTCATTTACTTTTATTTGCCACAACCCTTACAGATAACTTTAAGTACCAGAGACAGGACTCAATTAAACGGGACATTTAAAATTAGATAAGTTTTCCAAGTAACTAAAAACTTGGTGGTGCTCAACTCTTTTTGTTGTTGTCTCATTTTTAATATCTTATTTCTCATTTTATCTTAAAGTAGATCTTGGCCCGCGAACAGGTCAAGCTACTGTAACAACCAGTTAGCCTAAAGACCATTTGCAACTACTGTTAGGTCTTTAGCTACTGTTACTATACTATTAAGGGATAAGGGCAGCGCTTGTCACCAGCCCTAGGGTCCTGGAGTCCTGAAGGAACATCCATTCTCCAGTGGCAAAAGAAAATAATAAAGAAAAAATAATAAAATTACAAAAAAAACATCCCTTAATAGCATATGTCGAGCGGTTCTTGGCAACTAGTTTTAGACTCTTTTAGTCCTAAGGGAATAGAAACGCCGAGGCTTCTCAAATGCTCGGAGTATTTTGCTGGTTTGGGAAAGGAGGAGAGATTAATAATAAGTATTAAAACATTAACAAATGTATATTAACAATAAATAAAAAACTTGACAAATAGTCTTCAGAAAAAATGAATAAAATTCCATTTAGAGAATAATGCACTATAACTAATAGTAATAAAGATAAACATAAAATATAATTCGGGACGAAAATGTAAAATTGGCATTTATATGTAAATCAATTATTATTAAACAAAATTAAGTTAAAATATTTACCCATAATTCACATCGTACACAAAAAACTTTACACATTACTTTACAATAAAAAACCAGGGTTTCGCCCGAGGGGCGAAAGTTCTGGACCTTAGTCCGAACCCCGACTGAGCCTTTCCCCCAAGTGATCCTTTCTATATAAACCAAAATTTATGTGACTGTTGATTGTATTTTACAATGTCACGTTCAATGTAAATTAATAAAATGAAGGTTTGTTTCATTGTCATAAGTGTCTTTTTAATTATTTAATTTAAACATTAAATACTTGTTTAGAATTTTTGGTAAATTCTTTAGATTTTTCAATTAATAATAATGCCAATTATTACACTACTCTAATTTTACTTGTCCTGGTCAATTTTTTTTGAATCCACACACATCAGCAATTTGAGCTAAATCACTTATCAAAAAGTTTAAAAATCAACAACTTAGAAATCTAGAAAAAAGATAACAACCATTGACCAAAACCAAAACTTATAAACTAACTATGCATGAAATTCCCGCATTTTCCAAACATGGGCCTTTTTTTAAAGCTTTGTCGCAACTGCTATCATCTGCGATTTAGAAGGTTGGTTGGGAGAGATCATCTTAGAAAGGAACGCAGTGTATAGTCAACCTGAAACTCGCAAGGAGTCCTAGCCTGGCACTGAATTTACTTAATTTTAAGGTGAAGGGGGAGAAAAAGTCCTTTATATCTCACAAGGAAAGTCAATGTTTAATTATTTAACAAAACATTGAGTGCGACCGGTTTCGAAGTGTCATCACTTCATCTTCAGGCTCGCCTAGTGGAAAGGAGAATATGTGGTGTTAACACACCTTACACCACATATTCTCCTTTCCACTAGGCGAGCCTGAAGATGAAGTGATGACACTTCGAAACCGGTCGCACTCAATGTTTTGTTAAATAATTAAACATTGACTTTCCTTGTGAGATATAAAGGACTTTTTCTCCCCCTTCACCTTAAAATTACCTCAACTCACACATGGCTACCCCCTTGTCAATGAATTTACTTAATGTTACAAGTCCGAGCTGGGTTCTTTAAAAAAATTTATATCCAGTTTCGAATTTCTTTTGTAATCTAAAACAATTTATTTATATTTAACCTACCTGCATCCTTCTGACCATCGAGAAGAGCTACATGTGTTTCTAATAGAACAAAATATAGGTATCTGTTTAATATCAGAAACGCATATAACAAAACAAAGCTATATACAATTTAAAGAATACACAGTCTATAAAACTATACATCCCTCGGATACGGCGAAAGGTGGAAGTGCCGTAATAATAAAAGAAAATATTATGTTTATTCCACCACTCGTATCACATTGTACCTAAATAGTTAATAAGTCTCTGTTTTAGAATACTATTTCAGGGGAAGAGGACCCCCTATGGAAGTCCTTTGCGTCACTGTTTCCGCCATCATATTGGCACTGATTGCTGTTAACGGTTTGTTTTTATTTACTGTTTTTATCGTTTTATAAAAAACTATTTATTTTTATTTACTTTTTTTAATAAACTGAAATATTTCACTTTTTTAAAGAAAACCTCCCATAGTTCTCAGAAACCCCTCACATAAAAAATTTCTGGCTACGCCATTACTTAAATATCAAATATGATTGTGGTGTTCAGCAAATGAACATCAGAAAAGCGTGACCAACTTAAGCTGACTCACATACTTTGATTACTATACGAGGCAAGAGAGAGGTCCGACACGACCAACATAGGGCGCGGCCATTTTGAACCCTATGACACAGTTTACAGCTAAAGAATCAGATCGCTTACTCTGCGTCGGCACATTGGATCTCAATGTTTCAGTTTATACACTGTGCAACTCGGATAATACAATATATGACAACCGCCTATAATAAAACAGCAGTATTCTGCGTATCCTGAATTTTTATCCCTTGAGTGGATGTTATTTTGGAACTTTCAACTGGTCCGAGTGAGCTAACTGATTCTTTAGCAATAAACTGTGACTCCAAAAATAATATTCAGACACTGACAGCAGCAAGCAAAATATCATGTGCGTTTTAATCATCCGCTTCTGCTTCCGGAATTGTCGGTTCAGTCGTTCTAACCTGTCAGATTAAAACAAGAAAACCGACAATTCCGAAGCAGAAGCGGATGATTAAAACGCACCTATTAAAATTATTGCGCCAAGATGTAGGCAACACGTAATAAGGGTTCAAAATGGCGGAGTTTTCTATCTTTTTTTAAAAGGCACTCAGAAAGCTGCGCAGTGCGACCATTCTCCGTATAGTAAAAGAAAATCAAAGTATGTACCTGTGTCTATGTTGCAAACCACTTAGATACACCAGGCCTAGTTTGCATGAAATATTCTAAGCAAACTGTATTCAGTTTTTTCGAGGAAAATGTTGACGCAAACCTCCTGAGATTAATGAATATTTCAGCAGCCCTGAAAAGTGATAGTAAACATGAACCAAGAAACGGAGACGCGATGAGTATTTAAAGATACGAAGATGGCGTTTAATATGGTTCGGGACAAAATATCATTTTGAGCACGGATTTGAATGCGATCTTGTTTCCGCCCGACTAATAATGCTTTAATGTATTGACG